CGGCGCTATGTGTTGGCCGTCAAACGGCTTGAAAGCTGGCCGTATGATTGCATGTATTGTATAGACAGAACGCAAGAAAACAGTATCTATATGTAGCGATCTCATCAGGATGTGAATATGGCTCATTCTTTCCTGCCCTGCAACTTTTCACTTTCTTGCTTAATCTGTTCTGTGGGTCTCTATTATAAATATTATAAGTGAAAAGCTTTTGGCAAGTTTGTACTCGTGAATGGGAGAGAAAGTTTTATTTCTTCCACATGTGTCTATTAAATCATAGATATTTTCTGAATAAGAGTCAAGTAGATCCAATTAAAGTAAATACAATAATTTGCAGTTACCTAAGCACGCGAAAACAACTTATTCTATGTGGTGTGGGGCGAATTCAGTAGACGCGTAAAAACTAAATGATGTAAAATTGAATCAAACTGCAAAGTTCTAGGCAAATAACAAAACTCTGGATTAGATTTTAGAATCTTTGACTTTGAGCGAATTCCAATCTCCTAGTTTCAGAGAGAGTATAGCCGTGTCTCCCAGAATTCGCTTTTTCTTCGACATACAAACTTGGCATACACTTTTACAGATAAAAACTAATCCGTAACTCGTTTCTATCGAGTAAATTTATGTGTTAAAGTTCTAAAAGGTTTTTAATAATAGAGCAGATATGAGGCGGGCGTAATCGAAAAATCGAAGTAACTTTTGACATTCATGTATGTCATCAATATTTCTTTTTAATATTCTGTTTATGCCACATATAAAAACAAAACAAAATAAGCTGTCTGAAGACTACTTGAGTTACTTATCGGACTTAAAAACACTTAAGTTTGATTTCCTTACAGCTTTATTTTGTAAATATTACACAACAAAGGGAAAACCATTTTCCACTTGCATCACTCTGGTACATTACACTTTAGTCAGAAACCATTCCAAGCAACGACTACCGTCACTAAAGATATCGCCGATAAACCAAATTTAGAAGCATATGAATTGTTATGGTTGGATGCTCATGTCTATTCAACACAAGATAATTTGGAGACACTTGATGAACTCAAGCAAGTCATCAATTAGATTCGAATATTTGATGATTGTGATGAATGTGAAAGACACATCTTGAAATTATTAGATCAAAATTCATCATTGTTTTTAATTGTTCTATCATTGTTAAACACTGATACTGGAATATTTTCGTCGACTTTTCGCCGAAGTGTTTGATCATCGGATATTTGCGATATTAAACATTTTCGTTCGACAAAAACACCGC